TTTAATGGCAGCAGAGACAGAGGTTCTCTGAGCTCCAGGGTAGCCAGGGGTACCTACATATGAAACCCTGTCTCAAAAAAAAAAAGAGGGGCCGGAGAGATAGCTCAGCGGTTAAGAGTACTAGCTGCTCTTGCAGAGGACCTGGCTTCAGTTCCCAGCCCCTACATGGTAGCTACAACCGTCTGTAAATTCCACAGGATCCAGGCCTCGTTCTCACCTCTCTGGGCACCAAGCATGCGTGTGGTACACATGTTTATGTGCAGGTGAAATATTCATACACACAAAATAAATCTTAATTTTTTTTTTTTTAGATAAACAGATTCATAAGCTTATAATACAAGTGTGTTCTGTGCAAGCTGAGTGTGGTGGTGCATGCCTATAATCTCAGCATCTCAGGAGGCTGAGGCAGGATAATTTCATGTTTGAGGCTGGCCTGGGCCCTGTAGCAACACTGTCTCCAGTTAAAATGTAAAAGGCCCCAGTCCAGTATGGTTGACATATGCCTGTAGCCAGCACTTGAAGCTGGAGGCAGGAGCATTAAGAGTTCAAGTCATTTTCAATTGTATTGCAAGTTGAGGCCAGTCTAGGCCAGTATGATGCTGTGTCTCACAAGGAGGGGTGGGGCGCAGAAGGAGCTGGAAACATAATTCAGTAGTAAAACATTTATTTGTCTCACATGCTAGTTCATATGTGCTGTTGGGCTCAATCCCTAGTCTCACTAAAAAAAAAAAAAAAAAAAAAAAAAAAAAAAAAAAAAAAAAAAGGTGCAATATTTGGGACATAATTATTCAGGTTATTCCTTATTAATCTAAAATCAGTGTTTTCCTTTGTATCTATCATTTTGTGTTTTAAAACTGTCTTACTATGTAGCCCTGGCTGGCCTTGAACTCACAGAAATCCACCTGCCTCTGCTTCCAGAGTGCTGGGATTGAAGGCGCCACCACACCAGCCAGTACCTATTCTGTCTGGCATCCTTCCTCCTTATGTCCAAGGAACTCCAGCATGGCCCCTCAGGAATACTCTGGCTCTGTCTTAGCTTTATCTGTCCCTTCTGCAGGGATGTAGCTAGAGGCTACGAGAATGTGCCCATCCCCTGCGTCAATGGTGTGGATGGCGAGCCCTGCCCCGAGGATTATAAGTACATATCCGAGAACTGTGAGACGTCCACGATGAACATTGACCGGAACATCACTCACCTGCAGGTGAGTCACGGGTCCCAGGTGTCCGCAGAGACACTTAGCAGGGCTGAGCAAAATTAGACCACGTGGCTGAGGGAGCAGGAGCTGAAAGGAACCTGTTGTAGGGCCGCATCCATATTGGGGAACATGGAGACCCCCCCCCCCATTAGAACATGGAGATTTCCCCTCACCCATCACCAACCGCTGTCCTGAAACATGGACCCATGATTGAGGGGGAGAAAGCATTGGCAGCTGAGGGCAGGGTGAATCCCACTCACACGGACTCTGCCCCACCCAGCACTGCACGTGTGTGGATGACTGTTCCAGCTCCAACTGTCTGTGTGGCCAGCTCAGCATCCGCTGTTGGTATGACAAGGTGCGTGTCCCTCGTCTGGCCAAGTCTGTCTGGCCGCTCCCACTAGGAGCCAGAACCCTGCTCTGGTGGGGGAAGAGACACAGGGTGCGGCAGGAAGCTCTGGGACCCTGCCAGGAATGCAGTGGGCCTCTGCTCGGCTATGTGCAAATGGACTCTGATGCCTGCCTGCCTGCACACTTCCTGGTCTCTGACCTCAACTGCAGACTCTCTGCACCCCTCTCCCCTGCTTTGGGCTGGGGTCAGAGTGGAGTTTCCTGTGGAGTCCTCTGGGTCCCGGGCAGCTGAAACCACTGTCCCCCTCCCTCCGCACCCCAGGACGGGCGGCTGCTTCAGGAGTTTAACAAGATCGAACCCCCCCTGATCTTTGAGTGTAACCAGGCATGCTCCTGCTGGAGAAGCTGCAAGAACCGCGTGGTGCAGAGCGGTATCAAGTGAGGCGCCCGCCCCGGCACCCTGCCTCGCCTCCGCCTCCCTGCCTCGCCTCCGCCTCCCTGCCTCGCCTCCGCCTCCCATCCCCTGGGCCGCTTCCAGGTGCCCCACACTCAGTGTGACCCCCTCTCCATCTCTAGGGTGCGGCTGCAGCTCTACCGTACAGCCAAGATGGGCTGGGGGGTCCGTGCCCTGCAGACCATTCCCCAGGGCACGTTCATCTGCGAGTAAGTGCACTCTGGGGACCTGGTGCTGGGGGCTCTGCCGACTCCTGCCCAACAGGACAAAGCCTGCACCCACTCTGCCTGAGTCCCAGAGCTCCTTGTCACCATTTCATGTCACTCACGGAGCGTATTTCCAAACGTCACACACTTCCCCTGCACTCTGCCTAGCTGAGTGAATGCCAGTGACAGACAGACCTGGGTTTGGGCTGAGCTCTGTTGGGTGTCCTTGGCCACATTATTTAACCTCCTTCAGCCTTATTTTTCTTACCTGTTAAGTGGAGAATAGCTCCTTCCTGTCCACTTCCTCCCTTCTGGCCATTACAGCAGAGAAGCCTCTTCGCCAGCTCTGAGGACCACCCAGCTCTTTCCTTCATGTTCGCTCAACTTCACAAACAAGCAGCTTTCCCACCACCTGCCCTCTGCCCTGGGCCTCCCCGCTCTTCACTGCTCAGTCACCTGCCTCCCAGCCAGTGTCTCAGTCCCCGTCCTCCATTCCTCGCCCTGTGGGATAGTTCCTGGTGCACAGGCCTCCCTGTGTCCAAGCCTGGCATCTTTCCACCCAGCCAGCCACCATGGATACTAATCCCCAGACCACAGCCCGCCCCAGGCTCACACCCTCCCCCATCACTTCCCACCTGCTGTTCCAGCTGTACAGTGAGACACCCAGTGGCTGGACTATGTGCTGCATCCCTCTTAGGCTGGCCTCAGCCAGTGTCTGCTCCCCAGGCTCTGAGTAACCCACACAGCCCCAGCAGTGACCCTGGTGGCTCACAGTGATGGGCAGCTGAGAAGTGGAAGATTACAGGGATTGAGTGGACGGGAGATGGGCCTGGAGCCCTGCTCAGGTTCAGAACCGTAGTTTCTGCCCGATAGGTATGTTGGAGAGCTGATCTCTGATGCTGAGGCCGATGTGAGAGAGGATGATTCTTACCTCTTTGACTTGGACAACAAGGTAGGCAGGCAGCACCTGTGCCCTCTACTCCCAGAAGCTGCTTTCTGGAGCCACCTGGGACATGGGCGAGTGGGAAAGCTGGGTGGAGGGACTGGGTATCACTGTGGGAAAACTAGCCAGGCAGGTGAGTAGAGATGGGTATTTAGAGCACTGCCCCTCCACAGGATGGAGAGGTTTACTGCATTGATGCCCGTTACTATGGCAACATCAGCCGCTTCATCAACCACCTATGTGACCCCAACATCATCCCTGTCCGGGTCTTCATGCTGCACCAAGACCTGCGGTTCCCGCGCATTGCCTTCTTCAGCTCCAGGGACATCCGGACTGGAGAGGAGCTGGGGTGAGGTGCCCCGGAAATCCTGGGGCCTGAGGGTTGCGGGCACCTGGTATCCACAGACCAGAGGAAACTGACCAGCCTTAGTGTCCCTTGGAGGGCTTGTTAAAACTGCAAGGCAGGTGTGGTGGCATACGTTCATAATCACAGCATTCAGGAGGCTGAGGCAGGGGGATCCCAAACAGTCTGTCTCAAAAAAGAAAAAGGCCCAGCCTGTCTTGGTGTGACATGCCCGTCACACCCTCACTGAGGGGTCAAGGCAGAAGTAACCACCAGTTTAAGGCCAGCCTGGTCTGTGTAGAGAGTTCCAGGACAGCCAGACCTATATAGAGAAACCTTATCTCAAAAACAAACCCAAAGGAGGTGGTGGGTTGGGGGGAGGGGGGGTTTGCAGGGTTTAGCTGAATGGCTTCGTACTTGGAAATCGTGTGCAAGGCCCTGGGCTCCATCCCACCTCCCATACATAGCCTCAGGGTATTCTGGTTGACAGAGCTGGGAGGCCAGAAGCCTGCGTTTATGACAGTTCTGGGGTGGTATGAGTCAACAGACCCTACACGGACTTGGAATCCATCTGGAGGAGTGATTGGGTGGAAGGGAATGGGTCCCGACTCGAGAGAAGGCTCCCAGCGTTCTTTGAGATGGGTTCTGAGTGTCCAGGTCCTCTGCCAGGTTTGACTACGGTGACCGGTTCTGGGATATCAAGAGCAAGTACTTCACCTGCCAGTGTGGCTCCGAAAAGTGCAAGCACTCAGCTGAGGCCATTGCCCTGGAGCAGAGTCGCCTGGCTCGGCTGGACCCCCACCCTGAGCTGTTGCCTGAGCTCAGTTCCTTGCCCCCCATAAACACCTGAGGACTCTTAAATCCAGGCTGGGGCACTGCCCTTCAGACATTCCTCCATCAGAGACCCCAGTTAGGCCTGGAAGGTCCACAGCCCCTCTCCCAGAGCTGGTTTCTCGCTGGGAGTGTGACTCCGGGGCTGGCCACACTCCACTGAGCCAGGCCTCAGTTTGCTGAATTGAAGTTGGGCCTCTGCCAACTGATTCTCTGTGTTCTCAATAAATGTTGGGTTTGGTAATAAACTGTGGTGATTGTTTCAGGTCGGTGAGGATTGTGGGGCTGGGGGACAGGTGGGTAGAAAGCAGGTTGCTGCCGGCTGCCACCGGGTGGGAAAGGAGGGCTATGGGGGACCGTGGTCAGGATTTAAAAAAAGGCAAATCACAGCCTTGAGATTTGCAAAGGTGTGCCACAGTTCAAGCACTTTGAAAAATTACACAGTTGTTTTTTTATCAAAGTACTCCACGTTCTTCCTCCTGTGGTCTGAGGCATACGGCAAGCAGCTCCTGAGGCCCAGTATCTCCACTGCTGGTCAGAGCTGAAATCAGAAGAAGGAACTAGAGTGTGTCGGGGACCACAGGCGGGGGGTGGAGCTGTGACGTCTGGGAGGGCGGGGCAGGCGGCAGGTGAGCGGCCAGGTCTCCCTGGCTCCAATCACTCCGGAGACTGAGCCATGGGGGGAAAGCAGCATGAGAAGGAGGCTTACGGTAAGGCTGGGGTTAGAGGCCTGGGCTCTGGAGAGGCGGCGGGGCTCTACAGGCCATGGTGGCTGAGGTTGGTTCCAGGCAGAGGAACTAGAATCCTAGGTCTCTGAGGAGAGGCCCTGGGAAAACAGGGAAAGAGAATCCTGTCCTGGGAGAATGGTCTCTGCTGGGCCACAGCACAGGTCTTGCATACTGAAGTGGGATCTGAGTGTGTAGGTGTTGGGCCTGGCCTCAGGGGGCTGGTGGGGGGCACAGGGATTCGGGCCTGGACTCTTAAGTCCCTGAGGGCAGGGACCTGGCGAACAAAGCCCTCATGGTTAGGAGGCAGGTTGGAGTCCTGAAGCTTCTGCTCAGGACAGACCTCAGGGTCCAGCAGCCACCAAGGAGGAGGCTGGGTTCCTGCAAACCAGGGGGACTCCAGTTTAGACTTTGGATCTCTGAGACGCAAAGGTGCTGCGGGTCTGCCAACCCACACCCTGTGGAGACTCTGACATGCCAGGGTCTATGTGAAGAGCTAGGAAGCCGGGCTTCTGAACTAATAAAGTTCTTGTGAGGATTAGGGGGCTGGGACCCCAAACTTCAGGAGACAGCCTACTAGGATTCCTGTGAAGTGGGAGACTGGGACCCTCAACTGCTGGGGTCTGCCTGCTGTTGTCTCTTTGAAGAATAGGGGCTGGTACCCTGGGCTAAGGGGATCCTTGTGAGAAGTAGGGGCCGGTACCCTGAGCTGCTGGGGTCTGCCTGCTGCAACCCCTGTGAAAAGTGGGGTCTAAGGACTGTGGTGGAGAAAGGGCTGATACCTACCTTAAGGTCTTTGTTGGGAAGAAAAAGAAGCGGGGAGCTGTCGGGGGCACTTTGAGAAATAGGGACAGGGCTCTGTAGAGGGTGAGGCCAGAGGAGAGAGGAAGCAGGGGCCTGTTTCCAGAACTGGTGAAATGAAAGGGCTGGAAGTCTTTCCCTGAAGTCCTGAGAGGCGAGGGCTGAGCGAGCATTTCCTTACCTGAGGACCTTCAGCGCCTACAGGGGAGCTCATTCTGAGGGTTGGGCCTCCTCTAGGTGGGGCTGGTGTCCCCTAGGAGACCGCGTAAGGGCCAGAGCACTCCACAGAAAACTTCCTGGAGCAGTTTTGGGTCAATCATTGACCCTGTGTCCATAAGTCCGGGTGGGACAGAGTCCAGAATACCCAAGAAAGCAGATTCCACCCTACCCCAGGCTAGCCCAGCCCTCAGCTCTCCTTCAGTGTCCACCAGGACCCTGGCAGTCTGGCCCCACCCCCTCCCCTGTGTACTGAAGGAGGACCAGGAACAGGACATGGCCACAACCCCAGCGGCCAGCTCAGATGTCGACCTGACTGGCTACCCAGAGCTGTGCGGTAGCCTCAGTGGAGGGTCCGCAGAGTTCCTGCTTCCTCCCTGTGCCCTGCAGGGCTTCACAGCTGTGATCATACTTTCTTTGTCATATCCTTGGGCCAGAGGGCTGAGCTAGTGTGAGAGTGACAGGGTCCCCTGAGGGGCTCCCCACCTGCTGGTCCAGAGAGGACCTCCCCGCAGAGAGGACCAGGCAGGGGGTGAGGGCAGAGATAGGATGGGGGCCTGAGAGCCACTAAGAGGTGTCACAGAAGCTGACCAGGGAAGGGACAGAGGACCAGGGCCACATTCTACTCAGATGGCCTTGAGGGGGAGAGTCAGAAACACATTTCCAGAAGCCCACTATAAAAAAAAAACCTGCTCAGAAGGCTGAAGCAGGAGGATAGCAAGTTCAGGGTCAGCTGGGGGAACTCAGAAAGACCCTGTCTGAAATACAAAGTAAGCCGGGCGGTGGTGGCGCACGCCTTTAATCCCAGCACTCGGGAGGCAGAGCCAGGAGGATCTCTGTGAGTTCGAGACCAGCCTGGGCTACCAAGTGAGTTCCAGGAAAGTCACAAAGCTACACAGAGAAACCCTGTCTCAAAAAGCCAAAAAAAAAAAAAAAAAAAGAAAAACAAAACACACAAATGGCCGTGGTTATAGTTTAGTGAGTTTAGTGGCAGACTGTTTGCCCCTCGTGTAGAAAGCCATAGATTCAATATCCAGTACTACAAAAAACGAAGGCCCCACTTCCCACCTGTTGCTAGGGGAGAAGCCAAGGCAGGCAGCCACCATGCTGCTCACAGAGCTTGCAGACCAGGATACTGCCGATCCAGCTCCCTAGTGACCTCTTCCTGCTAGTCAACCAAGCAGGCTCCTGGGACCCAGGGATGTCTGGAAGGGACAGGATGTGGGGAGAGAGCACTTGCCTCATTCTTACTCTCCCCCGCCCTCAGGGAAATCAGTCAACTACGACCCCTCCTTCCGAGGCCCCATCAAAAACAGGTGAGCTGTGGCACCATCTCCAGGGGTGTGGGGAGGATTTGGGTTGTCGCAGGAGCCTGGTCCACTGAGGCATCTGTGTGTCTGGGGGATTTGAGGGTCTGGGTGCTGGGTCATTCTATTTTTTGACTTGGGTGCCAGTTACTCAGGTGGGTATACATTTGGGGAAAACTCACCCAGACGAGCATTTCTGAGCTCACTCTCTTTCTGTCTGCCTCTGTCTCTCTCTGTGTGCATATGCCTGTGAGCTTGCAAGCCTGTGTGTGTGTATGTGTGTGCGCGCGCATGTGTAATTCTCTATGATTATCATGTGTGATTATATTCCAGCAGAAGAATCCCTATCCTAAGGAAATTTTTCTTGATATAAAGAATGCCAATCTTGCCGGGTGGTGGTGGCACACACCTTTAATCCCAGCACTCGGGGAGGCAGGGCCAGCCTGGTCTGCCAGAGAGTTCTAGGACAGGCAGGGCTACACAGAGAAACAAACAAACAAACAAATGAAAAAAAAAAAAAAAAACAGGCATGCCAGTCTCTCTAGCACTCCCCAATCGTCTAGCCCATGTCAAAACCAGAGTATGCCCCACACCTGCACCCCAAACTCCCCACCCCATCCCTACACACATCCCGGCTCAGACGTCCATCTCTCCCCAGGGGCTGCACAGACATCATCTGCTGTGTCCTCTTCCTGCTCTTCATTTTGGGTTACATCGTGGTGGGGCTTGTGGGTAAGTTTCCAGGTACCCAGGGTGAGGGGCAGCGACCTAGGGAGGGATTACCACATAGCTGCCTGCCCCCAAGTGTCTGCCTTCCTATGATCTTATTGTGTGTCCCTTCTCCAGCCTGGGTGTATGGAGACCCTCGGCAAGTGCTCTACCCCAGAAACTCCACGGGGGCCTACTGTGGCATGGGGGAGAACCAGTGAGTATGAGGAGGGAAGACAGCAGCTTGGGGGGCAGGAGACACCCCAAGGTAGACACCAGAGCCCGGCATCTGCTGTTCTCCAGCCCTTCCTCACCCAGCCTCCCCGGGACTGGATAGTGCAGGGCCAGCTTAAGAGTCTACGTTTAGAGTTCAGACATCGCTGTCTGGGTCCCCAGCTGGGATGAGTTTGGGTGGTATGAGCAGCCTCTCTGGGCTTTAACTTCCTCCAATGAAGCAACAGCGCCCTTCCAGAAAGTATGCAGGAAATGCCCGTAAATAATAAGCTGTTAACACTCCTGTCACCATTACAATGCTCCAGGCAGGTGGGGTGTTTCACACCTAAACTGCTAAGCCTCCCGAGGTTGATAACTTCACTTCACACAAGACAGACTTGAGGCCTTGTTCAAGGTCATAAAGCTACCTTACGAGGGGCTGTGCTCCAGAATCAATACTCTCAGCCACACATTGGCTGGTGCAATTTATTACCATAGGTGGTCTTCTGGGCCTCCTTATCTCCCCAGAGAAGCTGGGCCAGGAGCTGGACCTAACTAGTTCGGTCCACAGGGCTATCTGTGTATTAAGAGAATGACACCCTGCACCTGTCCAGGCCCTTAGGCATGTGCGCCCTCTCTTCCTGCAGGAATAAACCCTACGTTCTATACTTCAACATCTTCAACTGTATCGTGGCTACCAACATCATTTCCATCGCCCAGAATGGCCTACAGTGCCCCACACCCCAGGTCAGAAGCCAGGGCCTGTGCGAGCCCCGCCTGTCCCCAAGGCCCTAGGTACCAGCCCCTTAGCATGTTCTGTACCCACAGGTGTGTGTCTCTTCCTGCCCAGTATCCCCGTGGGCTGTGGACAGTTCCCAGTTCTCAAAGACAGTGGGTGAAGTTTATAAAGAAAACAAGAACTTTTGTCTACCAGAGGTGCCCCCAGACATGGTAAATGCTGGTTCCCGTCCCATAGTGGAGGAGTGGTAGGGAACTTGGACTCTAAGGAGGGATGAGCCCATCTGAGCCTTAATGTGGTAGAAGTTGTGGTAGAGGTGATGGTGATGGTCGTGGTGATGGTGATGGTGGTGGGTGGTGGTTGTGATGGTGGTAGTGATAGTTGTTGGTGGTGATGGTGGTAGTGATGGTGGTGATGATGTGGTGGTGGTAGTGGTGGTGATGATGTGATGGTGGTAGTGATGGTTGTTGGTGATGATGTGGTGGTGGTGGGAGCCACACTTTTATATCTGTGTATGTCTGTTCTTCCTTCTCCACCCCCAGAATGTGATGAAAAGCCTGGAGCAAGAACTCTGTCCCAGTTTCCTCCTCCCTTCTACTCCAGGTGAGAACCATGAACGTTACTCTCTCAGGCATCCTCTCATCCAGTATTTTCATTTCTCAAATGAAAGACGCAGGCCCAGAAGAAGAGAGGCCCTCAGCATGCCTTCCCTACATTCTGGGTGGAGAGATCAGAGATATTTATTTACAAGAGGTTGGATGAGCACCAGACCAGTTAGATGCCGCAAGCCTATGGTCCCAGCTAACAGGGAAGCAGAGGCAGGAGAGGTTGAAGACCAGCCTGGGACACAGCAATATCCTCTCTCAAAACAACAGTAAAACAGGGCTGATGAGATGGCTTGGCACACAAAGGTGCTCGCCACCAAGTCTGCCGACCTGAGTTCGATCCCCAGGCCCCACACAGTAGAAGGAGAGAGTGGACTCCTGAACTAGCTCTCTCCAATCACCACAGGCCTTGCACAACCCACACACATTCACACACAATAAGCAGATGTAATAGTGTTTCGTGTGGATGAGTGGTGTGCAGAACACTGTTTCCTGGCTTGTGGAATGCCCTGGGTTCCATCCTCAGCACTGCAGAAACAGAACAGAGTGACAATAACAAATCTCCTGAGAACAATCATGGTGGGGCTGGAGAGACTCTCAGCAGGTGTGTGCTGCTCATATATGGGTTCCCAGCACCCATACGGTAGCTCAAAACTATCCATAACCATCCAGGGGCCCTGATACCCTCCTCTGGCCTTCACAGGCACCAGTCACGCTGGCGCTTATCACACATGCAGGCAAAGCATTCATACACACAAAATATGCTGGGCGTGGCGGTGCAGGCCTTTAACCTCAGCACTCAGGAGGCAGAGGCAGGAGGATCTCCATGGATTCAGTGAGTCCCAGGTCAGCAAAGGCCTACATAGTGAACCCTGCCTCAAAAATAAAACAAGATAGATAAATCTTAAAAAGGTGATTTTTTTTTAAAATAAAATATAATGGATGAATGAATCTGAGGGAGTACAGCCACCTGAGACATCCATCCAATCGTTACAAACGGACAAGGCTGGGTAGGCCGATCACAGTTGACCTTTCTTTGGTGCACACATCGTCCCAGCAGCACTCGGAACTGGTTTGGTTTATTTAGAGACAGAATCTTATGTTGTGGCCCAACTGGCACCGGTGTGTGATCTTCCTGCCTCAGCCTGTCCCTCTGCTGAGATACCAGGAAGGCACCACCGTGTCTAGCTGCCTTTATTTATTTATTTGTTTGTTTGTTTGTTTGTTTTAGTAGAAAATGCTCCCTTCCCTTCGGCACCATTGGGTCTAATCTGCATACAAACAACCCAAGCTAACTTCCTCTCAGCACCATCCTTGTATCTGCTCTCAGTGTAAACAACCCAAGCTAACTTCCTCTCAGCACCATCCTTACATCTGCTCTCTTCGTAAACAGCTTAAAGCTTAAGCTCTATTTGTCTTTCTCTCAGGCACCCTCTTTGCAGCCCATGTGTGCCCCCCAATACTTTCTGACTATAGTATGAGAAAAGACAAGATTTCAAGGCAAGTGCCATAGGGAAGGGCGCCCCAGGGCCGCTCCGAAGCAGACAGATCTGGATTTACGCTTGAGCGCTTTCCAGCAGGAGGATCTCAGGCCAGTTACTCAACCTTTCTGTGCCTTGTTTCCTCAACTTTGGGATGTAAGTGATAAAAACAAACCTGCTCGGCTACCTGCGGATCCAGAGTCAGTCACGTAACAGGCCCAGCTAGAGATCTGGAGATAGAGCTGGGGTAGGGGCTGAGCTGAGAGAGAGGAGAGATTCTGAGGAGACTACTTAGAGACTCCACGAGCGAGCAAGCGAGCGCAGAGGTGTGCAATGTGCATAGGATCCAGGGCCTGGCCCAGGGCCATGACAGCCTGTTGAGATAACCCATTCCGCTGAGGGACCAATGATGTGGAATGAAGAGACCATGACCTAAGTAGGGAAGCAAGGTCAGGGCTGGAGGTATTGCAGGAATCCAGGTAACGGGGTGTAAGGACATCTGCCCAATGGCAGGGAGGGAATACAGGCTGCAGTACCCCCAACCCTGAAAGACCAGAGCCCACCCATCCCTGCTCCCTCCCGTGACCTGACCATGCTCTGGGGTGGGAGGGTCAGACAGACTCCCACCCAGCAGCCCCTGTTCTCTCTTCTAGCTCTGGGACGTTGTTTTCCATCCCCCAACATTAATTTCACCTTACCCGGGTACGAATGGATCGATAACACCACTGTCTCTAAGGGGATCAGGTAAATGTCCTCTCCATCACCCCCATGTCCCTTCGTACCCTCAGCCCCATCTGACTCCATCCTTCTCCAAACAGTGGCCTCCTTGACAGCATCAATGCCCGGGATGTCTCTGTGAAGATCTTTGAAGATTTTGCCCAGTCCTGGTATTGGATCCTCGTGTGAGTCCACAGCTTCCCCACAATCGATCCAGCCCCTCCCTCCTCCCCCTGCCCTTCCCTGACTCCCTTTCCCTAAGTCTGTGTGTGAAGCCAAGGCTGTGATCAGAGGGGAGCTGGCTCAGAGTGGACCCTGAGCCAGGCAGGACTTGTATCAGAAAGTGAATTGAAGCTACGAATACTGGAGGATACAGGAAAGGAATTGGGGGGGCTCTGAAGGGCTTAGGAGACCACCCTCATTTACATTCCCTACCTGCAGGGCCCTGGGTGTGGCTCTGGTACTGAGTCTGCTCTTCATCCTGCTCCTTCGCCTGGTGGCAGCTCCCCTGGTGCTGCTGCTGATTGTGGGGGTGCTGGCCGTGCTGGCCTATGGCATCTACCACTGCTGGCAACAGTACCGGACGCTTCGGGACAAGGGGGCCTCCATCGCCCAGCTGGGCTTCACCACCAACCTCAGTGCCTACCAGAGCGTGCAGGAGACCTGGCTGGCTGCTGGTGAGTCCCCTGCTGCCCCCCTCCATCCACTCGCTGCCAAGGGTTGCGTTGGTTGGGTGACCCTAGCTCTGACTGGGGACCACCACCTGCTGTCCCCCACACAGTAATTGTTCTGGCTGTCCTTGAGGGCATCTTGCTGCTCATGCTCATCTTCCTGCGCCAGAGGATCCGAATTGCCATCGCTCTGCTGAAGGAAGCCAGCAGGTCAGGGCCTGCCTGTGAGGGAGAGGGGTCCTTGGTTAGGGGTGCTGGCCTGGATGGGGTAGTAAGAACCCTGAGGAGAAAGGCAGAATTGCTCAGTGAGTAACACCGCTGAGTTTCAGCCTCTTAGGGCCTCGGTTTCCCTGTCTGGTTTGTTCTGTTGTTATCTGGGGGGATGGAAGGAGATAAGACTGATTTATTTTTGTTTTATGTATGGGTGTTTTGCCAGTGTGCACGTCTGTGCACCACGCATGTTTGGTGCCCCTGGAGGCCAAAAGAGGGCATTGGATCCTCTGGAGCTGGAGTTACAGACAGTTGTGAGCCCAAGACTGCTCTAGAGAGCAACCAGTGCTCTGAACTGCAGAACCATCTCTGCTGCCCCAAGAATTTGTTTATTGTTTGTTTGTTTGTTTGTTTGTTTGTTTGTTTGTAGACAGGAGCTCATGTAGTCCCCGCTAATGTCAGAGCAGCTATGTAACTGAGGCTGTCCTTGAACTCCTGATCTCCCTGCTTGCACAATATGGTGGTGATGGTGATCCCGCAGGTTCTTGGGCAGCACAGGCTGACCTCCAACTCACTATATAGTTGAGGATGACCTTGAATGCATCCTCCTGCATCTACCTCCAGATGCTAGGGTTGGGCATGTACCACCTGACCTCCTTTATTCAGTGCTGGGGGTTTAACTCAGGGCCTCCTGTGTGTTACTCTACCAATAAGGCTACATCCCCAGTCCTCCTGTATCATTTCCCTACCCCAGTCACTCTTTTGAGGGTGTGTCTTGCAATATAACCCGGACTGGCCTCAAACCCATGGCAACCCCGCTATTTCTCAGCCTCCTGAGTGCTGGGATTGAAAGTATGTGCCACCACACCCAGCCTCCCTGTTCGTAAGATGTTGTAACAGCAGTCTAAATTTTGCAAGGGCACTGTGGGGACTGAGTACACTGTGGGGACTGAGTGCATTGTGGAGACTGAGCGCATTGTTGCTGACTAAATGTGTAGAACAACGGCTTAGCACTCTGTGGGCACAGGCGGGAGTTGCGGTGGCGGGAGTTGAGATGGGAGAAGCAGACACTGCCAAATGGACCAGAGGGGCAGGCCACCTTTTGGGGGTTCTCTTCCCTTACACTCCCCGAGCCCCCCATGTGTCTCCTGCAACTCCAGGCTCCTCTGAGTGTCCCCTGAGCCTTACTGGGTTCACCCAGAAAGTCTACTGTGTACCCTGTCTGGAACCAGGTTCTGGGGATGTGGAAGACAAAAGCTGTAGTTCTATTTCTGGCCTGGAGATTCAAACAGGCCAGAGGAGGAGTCCAGCCAGGGTCAGGCCTGGGAGAGGATGCCCAGGGCTGAGGCTCCAGTGGACTACTCTTGTCTCCCTGCAGGGCTGTGGGCCAAATGATGTCCACTATGTTCTACCCTCTGGTCACCTTCGTCCTTCTGGTCATTTGCATCGGTTACTGGGCCATGACTGCTCTGTATCCTTTATACAGCCCCCACTGGCGCTCCGGGGGCAGGACAGGTCCCATGTGGGGATGTAAGGGGACTGAGTGGCCCGGGTGAGCAGGGGTTGAATGCCAGCCCTGTGTGTGTGGCGAACAACCTGTACCAGTTCCAGGGGTGTCCTGTGATTGACAGCTGCCATCATGCTTTTCTTGACTCACTTCTGGGTACCTGGCCACGTCCGGGCAACCCCAGTACATCTATCGGGTGCCCGACCCAAGCACACCCGGCTGTGAGGGTGCACCTGTGAACAAGTCCTGTGACCCCATGGTGAGAGGGAGCAGGGTGGGTGCTGAGGGGGTGTTGGGGGTCAGTTAGCCCAGATCTCCCCTAATGCAGAAGTACCTGAGAGGGCAAGGATTCTCCCGTGGATGGAACCTCCTCAGTTCTACAGTTGAGTACCCGTTTTGTGGAGTGATGTGGGCACAGGACCTCTGAAGTGAAGGTGGGGAGGCTGAATAGCAAGCAGGACCTTTCTCTGCACTCAAGGCCATTAAATACTTCCTCCTCCTGGGTCTCCACCCATTGTTCTATAAATTGGAGCTGATCCTAATCGCCGTCTCTGTGGGTGGCTTAGGAGCATTAATGGCATTGGGTACATCTGGTGCTGTGTACCATGCCTGCCCAGGACAGAGACTCCCACTGGATGGACTGTTTTATTTCCCTTGTCAAGTTCTGGGAACAGAGCCCCAGGCAGCGGCACTGAGAGGTCCACTGGAGCGATGTCTGGAGGAACTCGGGAGGCCTGTGGGTACTTTCCCAGCACTTGAGAGGTGGAGGCTGAGGAGAGGATCTGTACCAGTCTCCGTTACACAACTAGTCTGAGGCCAGCCTGAGCTGTGAGGCTGTCCCTAAAAAACAAAAATAAGCATAACAAAAAGCCACACCATGCCCACAGGAACACACCTCTAACTCCAGCATCCTGGAGGTTAAGAGTAGAGATTTCCACTTCAAGGTCATCCTGGAGACCTTGCCTCAAAAACAACCCCTACACACAAAAGAGAGAGAAGGCTCATTCAGATTTATAGAAGACCCACTGTGTTCTGTGCCCAGGGGGACCGGGCTTTCCTTTGTAACTCACTCACCCTCTAACTGTGAAGGCTGCCGCAAACCCATGGTGATCTGTTGAGAGAAGGGGGCTTTTTGCTTTCCTGCCCCCACCCACCTTTTTTTTTTTTTTTTTTTTGAGTCAGGGTCTCACTATATATATAGCCCTGGCTGGACTGGAACTCAATAGGTAGCCCAGGCTGGCCTCAAACTCAAGTGGATCCACCCGTCTCTGCCTCCCAAGTGCCAGGATTAAAGTCGGGCACCGCTATGCCCAGTTTTATTTCAAACATTCATGGTTTAGGCACTCAGGAACCATGAAGCTTTTAAAGTCATGTTTTCTGGATTTGTTTAGTTTTAATTACTCTTTTTTTTTTTTGGTTTTTTGAGACAGGGTTTCTCTGTGTAGCTTTGCACCTTTTCCTGGAACTCACTTGGTAGCCCAGGCTGGCCTCGAACTCACAGAGAGCCGCCTGCCTCTGCCTCCCGAGTGCTGGGATTAAAGGCGTGCGCCACCACCGCCCGGCTTAATTACTCATTTTTTATGTGTTATTGTGGACATTTCCAAACACATGCAGAAGTCAACCGTACAGTGGTGGTGAGTCCCTGTGCCCAGATCCGGTGGCCCGCAGCTTCCTGTAAGAACCCCTCCTCCTCCTCCTTTCCCAATGCTGCAGTTTGAACCCAGGGCCTCATGCATGAGCTACATCCCTAAGCTGCCCCCACCCTCAACTTTTAGGAAGTTTAAAACAATGTTTTCTCTCTTTCTTTCTCTCTTTTATTATTTCTCTATGATTTCTTTCCTGTTTACTATTATTTTGTGCATATGAGTGTCTGGCCTTCATGTATGTTTATGCACCACATTGTACTTGCTGTCCAAAGAGACCAGAAGAGGCCTTGGATCATCTGGAGCTAGAGTTACACACAGTCGTGAGCCACTGTGTGGGTGCTGGGAATGGAACCCTGGTCCTCTTGCAGAGCAGCCAGTGTGCTCAACCACTGAGGCATGGCATAGCTCGCTCCCCCGACTCTGTTTTTTGTTTGTTTGTTTTGTTTTGTTTTTTTGAGATAGGGTTTCTCTATGTAACCCTGGCTGTCCTGGAATTCACTTTGTAGACCAGGCTGGCCTTGAACCCAGAGATCTGCCTGCCTCTGCCTTCCAACTTCTGGGGTTAAAGGCATTTCTCTCTCTCTCTCCCTCCCCCCACTCTTGTTTTTTCTAGGCTGCCCTGAAACTTGCTCTGTAGCCCATGCTGACCTCAAATTCACAATGATCCCCTTTACCCTAGCTTCCTCAAATGTTGGGATTGCTGGGGTAAAATACTGCATAGCCCCGGTAGTTTGAATACAAACTCTGACTATCATGCCACTTCACACATAAGTATTCTAAGGTGGATCTCAAAGAGCATTTGTTTGTTTGTTTATCTGGGTTTTTGTTGTTGTTGTTGTTTCATTTTTTCAAGACAGGGTTTCTCTGTGTAGCTTTGCGCCTGTCCTGGATCTCACTCTGTAGCCCAGGCTGGCCTCGAGCTCACAGAGATCCGCCTGGCTCTCCCTCCTGAGTGCTGGGATTAAAGGCGTGCACCACCACTGCCCGGCTTATTTATCTATTTATAAACAGGGTTTCTTGTAGTCCAGGCCCAGCCTGGATCTTGCTATGTGGCAGAGGAGACCTTGAATCTGTGATCCTCCTGTCTCCCACGTGCTGTGATTACAGGTGTGCCCAACCATGCAGGGTTTTATGTGCTAGGCCAGCACTCTACCAACTGATACACTTCTCCAACTCTTTGACAGATGACTTAAGAAGCAGAGCCTGAGGATTAGGTCAGTGATAAAAAGTTGTCTTTTGTTCCTGAAGCTCCGGCTTCTACACTAAAAATAGGAGGAAAGGGGAAAAAAGAAGAAAGGCGAAGTCTAACGAAGCTGGCCATGACGCTCAGTTTTGTGTGTGGGGTTTGTAGGATGTGTGAAGATCAGTGCTCAATCCCGGCAGAACACTGGTGCATGCCACACACCCCGACACTGTTTTGTTATTACAGCCAACAAAATTACTTAATGTCATTAAATACCCTGGGTGCCCTGACGGCAGCTCAGAGTCTTCTCTAAAACAGGTTCCTGGAAAAGTAAGATGGAGAGCAGGCTGAAACCATAAAACCACCCACACACTGGTCTTGCCCGAGGCATTCTAGACAGCTCTTGTGCCAGTCTGGAATCCAGGAAGCTGGTTAGTCACACTACGGCAAGACTGAGGTGATCTGAGCCTGGAGGCTGCTAGGAACAGGGAAGGTCCAGGATCCGCCTGCAAGTCCCGGGCCTGAACCTGCCATGTCCCCCCTGTCACTTCCAGGACCAATCCAAGAACTTCTCCTCGTGCCCAGGGCTCACGTGTGCCTTCCAGGGCTACTCGTCCACAGGCCTAGCCCAACGTTCTCTCTTCAACCTGCAAATCTATGGGGTCCTGGGGCTCTTCTGGACTGTTAACTGGGTACTGGCCCTGGGCCAGTGCGTCCTTGCTGGAGCCTTTGCCTCCTTCTACTGGGCCTTTCGTAAGCCTCGAGACATCCCTACCTTCCCCTTGAGCTCAGCCTTTATCCGCACACTCCGGTAAGCCAGGGGCAGCCCCCTAGGGAAATGTTAGCCCTAGGAATACCAGGAAGTGCTGGGGTGCCTCAACTTACCTAAACACCCTCTGCAGTTACCACACTGGGTCACTGGCATTTGGAGCCCTCATCCTGACCCTTGTGCAGATAGCCCGGATCATCCTGGAATACATTGACCACAAGCTAAGAGGTGAGTGGGCGGCGGCGGGCAGGCTGAGCTGCTGGAATTGCTGGAGTCTTGAAGGGGGCCAGGCAGGCGGAAACCAGTGGCTAAGCGTCGGCTTCCTTTGTCCCCAGGATCCCAAAATCCTGTGGCCCGATGCATCATCTGCTGCTTCAAGTGTTGCCTCTGGTGTCTGGAGAAGTTTATTAAGTTTCTCAACCGCAATGCCTACATCATGGTGAGCACACCCTCGAGCAGTCCCTTGCCCTGAGCCCCTCTGCCCAGGCTCCACCATCGTATGGGGAAGATCACCAAGGGTGTGGCTCTGACCTTTCCTGCTCCTCTCAGATCGCCATCTATGGGAAGAATTTCTGTGTCTCAGCCAAAAATGCCTTCATGCTGCTCATGAGGAACGTAGTCAGGTCAGGCTGCCATGGGGTCCCCTACCCAGCTCTCGCATCCTTAAGCTGGCCTCATGGGCAGACCCTGCTCAGAAGGGTCTCATGTTTGGTCCAGTGCGCTGTTGTCACCATCTTGACATGGGAATAGATGTCACTGTTCCCAGTCCTGCGAGGTCCCTCACCCCTCACTTCCACTACAGGGTCGTCGTCCTGGATAAAGTCACAGATCTGCTCCTCTTCTTTGGGAAGCTGCTGGTGGTCGGAGGTGTCGGTAAGGGTCACGTCAGGGTTTACAGAGCCAGGCGCCCCCTGGGGTGCAGAAAGGGGTGTCTGCGGAGGAGCAGCACTGACCCAGGACTCTTGTCCACACAGGCGTTCTGTCTTTCTTCTTTTTCTCCGGTCGTATCAAGGGGCTGGGGAAGGACTTTGAGAACCCCCACCTCAACTATTATTGGCTGCCCATCATGGTGAGTGACACCTCTCTCTGCTTCACCCATGTCTCCAGAAGAGCCCAGGGGTCTTTTGTTTGTTTGTTTGTTTGTTTGTTTTTCGAGACAGAGTTTCTCTGTGCAGCTTTGGTGCCTGTCCTGGATCTCACTGTGTAGACCAGGCTGGCCTCGAACTCACAGAGATCCACCTGGCTCTGCCTCCTGAGTGATGGGATTAAAGGAGTGTGCCACCACCGCCCGCCAATCAGATTTGTTTCTTGCAGACCTCCATCATGGGGGCCTACGTCATCGCCAGTGGCTTCTTCAGCGTTTTTGGCATGTGTGTGGACACGCTCTTCCTCTGCTTCCGTGAGTGTCCCCCAACCAACCGCCTCCCCCACTCTCAAGCGCTTGATTCTTCTGGCTTTTCTTGGATACTGGTTGCCTGTAGCTTTCTGAACTAAAGGGGCCAGTGAGAATATCTTCAGGCATTCTAAGCCTAGAAGTTTGGGGAGGAAAGAAGGGATAAACCCTGGACATTCTCAGAGAGGGGGACCTTCTCAGACAGAGGCCTGGCTAGAAAATGTAGGAAGATGTTAACCATGAAACACTTCCCAGGAGGTAGTCATAGTGTGTGTGTGGGGGCTGTTCTTCCTTCTTTTATTTAGGCTTTTGGGGGAAGGGACATACAGGGAGGTGAGATGGGAATCACACTATATAGCACAGGCTGACCTGGAAATAACTGTATAGCTAAGGCTGGCTCAAACTCATGATCCTCCTGCCTCAGCCACCAAGTGCGGGAAATCATGGTACTTTTTTGTCCCAGTGACAATGCCCCCTGGACCTTGTGTCTGCAAAGGCAGGAACACCCCACAGCTGTGTGAAGCCATGCACTAAGCAATTAACAGGAATATTTTGTTGTTTTATGGTTTTGTTTCTTGGTTAAATTTTATTTATTTACATAGGGTCTCTCCATGTCTTCTTGGCTGGCTCCAACTCGATATATAGACCAGGCCGGGCCAACTCCAAATAGTCTTCCGGCCTCTGCCTCCCAAGCGCTAGAATCATGGAGATGCACAACCATTCCCAAGGCAGAGTTTTGCTGTGTAGCTCAGGCTAGGCTTGTATTCTAAGTCCTGCGGTCTCCACCTCCACCATGATGAACCGACATGCCATTTTTCTTTTTTTTTTTTTGGTTTTTCGAGACAGGGTTTCTCTGTAGCTTTGCGCCTTTCCTGGAACTCGCTTTGGAGACCAGGCTGGCCTCGAACTCACAGAGATCCGCCTGGCTCTGCCTCCCGAGTGCTGGGATTAAAGGCGTGCGCCACCACCGCCCGGCTGCCATTTTTCTTAATCCTGTTGTTAGTCTATGAAATAATACGATTATTTACACACTTGATGTGAGGAAGCAGGTTATACAGCTTTCTGGGTAGGTTCTATAAGCTGCCTTACATTGCTTGGACAGGAAACCAGGCTGTTTGATCTACACAGCCCGGATTATTCCTGGGGTTCAATAGGGTTCCGTTTATCAGATCTCCTCTAATGGGTCCTTTCTGCCACTCAGTGGAGGATCTGGAGAGAAATGATGGTTCCCAGGAGCGGCCCTACTACATGCCCAAGTCACTTCTGAAGATTCTGGGTAAGAAGAATAAGACACCCAGTGAAGGAAAGAGGAAGAAGTGAGAGATGGGGCCGTGACCCGGAACTGCAGCCCTCCTACACAGAAGCCCAGCCATCTACGCCTTAAGGATCACAATTTTATAGTAAACAGATTTTATTAAAGATTAATATTTTATATTCTTGATAAGTATGGTTTTGTTTCCAAACTCATTTCTCTTTTATTAAAGTCTAAATCACTGTTACACGGTTGGATACCAAGTAAAAGAAAACTTGTTCAGGGGCTAGGGTTAGGAGACTGGGGGTGTTCCTCAGCTGGTAGAGTGGCTGCCTAGCATGGAAGGGCCTCCAGATTCTGTCTGCAGCATAAACGTGGCCTGGGACTCTTGCCTGTAATCACAGTACTTGGGAGGTGGAGGCAGGAGGACTGGGAATTCCAGGTCATTCTTGACTCCATAGTGAATTCAAGGCCAGGTGGAGCTGGGTGAGACCTTGATTCAAAAGAAGTGTGTGTGTGTAGGGGGCGTGTAGGGGGCGTATTGTTCAAATAAGGCAATATGTCACCAACAATCCAGGCAGCTATTCATTTCTTTTTTTAATTAATTAATTAATATATTATTTATTTATTTTAGTTTTTCGAGACAGGGTTTCTTTGTGTATCCCTGGCTGTCCAGGAACTTGCTCTGTAGACCAAGCTGACCTCGAACTCACAGATATCTGCCTGCCTCTGCCTCCCGAGTGCTGGGATTAAAGGCCTGCGCCACCACGTCCGGTTCATTTTATTTATTTTAAGAATGTTTCTATGTGCCAGGCAGTGAGTCTGAGGCCAGCCTGGTCTACAGAGTGAGTTCCAGAACAGCCAGGGCTAGACAGCAAAACCCTGTCTTAAAAAAAAAAAAAAATTCAGCTAGTTCAGCGAACCATTTTGCCCACGCGACCTCCTGTCTCTGCCTCCAGAGCACTGGGATTAGAGTGGGTTCCATACCTGCCCAGCTTTTATATGAAGTTTGGAGATACAAAGTCCTGTCCTTCGGCTGGCTGGGCTCCTGTCCTCAAGAGTGTAGAGCAAATGCTTTTCATACTGAGCCCTCTCCCCAACCCCAGGGGACTCTTTAATACATATATATATAATATTTATTATTTATATAATAATATAATAAATAATATAAATAAATATAGATTTATATATAAGGTGTGCACCACTACACCAGATTTAGGTGGTGGCGGGAATTGAACCAAGGGCTTCCTACAAACTAGGAAGGCACTCTACCAACTGAGTCACGCTGCCATCCCTTATTAGTTCCTTTCCTGGCCGCCGGCTGCTTTAAAACAGGCCCCGCCCCGTCGTCGCTTTCCGGGTATCAGGGCCAATCCAAAAGCTCCTACGGGGACTGAGGCCGCCCCCTGGGCCACGTGCCGAGGTCGGACAGCGAGAAGGACCAACCGGAGTCGCCGCGGCTGGCGAGGGGCGGGGTCGGGGTGACTTGAGCGCATTTAAAGGGCCGGGGTCAGCTGACGGCTCGCCGCCGGTGACCCGGTTCGCGGACGGGCATCGCGGAGGGGAGCGATGGCGCGGGCACAGCCGAGCGGACCCCGGGCCCCGCTGCGCTGCCGGGCGGGCCGCCGGGGTCAGCTGCTCGCGGCGATCTCCCTGCTGCTGGTGTCGCTGGCGGGATCCCGGGCCAGGGTGGAAGATGACTTCAGCCTGGTGAGCCCCGCCGCCCCTGCCGAGGTGGCCACTGCCCCGCAGCTCGGCCACCTCTCCGAGCGACACCCCTGCCCGCGTCCTCGCCGGTCCCTGAGGGTTCCCCGAGGGTTCCCTCTCCCCTCGCAGCCTCTCCCCTGCTCCGGAACCTCCGGCTTCCGCCCATCCTCTCCTCCGGACTCCCTTCTCTTGTTCAAGGACACCCCTCACCCCTGCTCGGGCTCCCCATTGCCCTCTCCCGTGGGAACCCTAGCTGGGGCGGCGACCTGTCTGTCGGTCTTCAAGCCTCGTCCGCACAGGTGCAGCCGCTGGTGACCATGGAGCAGCTGCTGTGGGTGAGCGGGAAGCAGATCGGCTCGGTGGACACTTTCCGCATCCCGCTCATCACCGCCACCCCTCGGGGCTCGCTCCTCGCCTTCGCCGAGGCCCGGAAAAAGTCTGCCTCCGACGAGGGAGCCAAGTTCATCGCCATGAGGAGGTCCACCGACCAGGGTACAAAGGTGCCCGGGTGGAAAGTGGGTTGTACGAGTGACTGGAGATCGGGAATGGGGGGATCCCTTCACCGACCCAACCGCCCAGGGATAGAACTTCGAGGCCTGGGTCCCTAAGGAGTTAGGGAAGCCCCGAGGGGGTAAGAGTCCAGGGAGCTAACCGCAGCCACCAAGGGGTGATCTCATAATTCACTGGGAATGAAAATTATGTGGCTGAATGGAGTGAGCAGGAAATAATGTCAGAGAAAGAAGGAACAGGGCCCTGGTGCCACCTTAAGGTCCCTGGGGAGAGGCAGGACGTGAACAAGAAACCGCTTTTTTTTCCAGGTAGCACATGGTCCTCTACAGCCTTCATCATAGACGACGGGGAGGCCTCCGATGGGCTGAACCTGGGGGCCGTGGTCAACGATGTGGACACAGGCGTGGTGTTCCTTATCTATACCCTCTGTGCTCACAAAGTCAACTGCCAGGTGGCCTCCACCATGTTGGTGTGGAGTAAGGATGATGGCGTTTCCTGGAGCCCGCCCCGGAATCTCTCCGTGGATATTGGCACAGAGATGTTTGCCCCGGGACCAGGCTCTGGCATTCAGGTTTTTATCCTGGGGACCCGTGAAGAGGGCAAGATCCTGGGAATCAGATTCTTTCTTGAGTGGGATTCCTTGCTGGGCGCCAGCATTCTAGAAAGAACACCCTAGTGTGGAGAAGACGGAACTTGGCCATTGGCTTCTCACATGGAGGTTGGCAACACCTCTGTCCTTAGCCTGAGCAGGGTAGACTTGGGTGGCTTTGGGCAGACACGTACCTTTATCACAGTGCCCAGTGTCCAGCAGAGTCCACGCTCCGGCTGGCTTTAAGCTCCCAAGGCTGGGTGGGCGCTTGTGCACATGCCCAGTGGTGCATTCTGCATGTCCTGGGGAACTTCCAGGGAAGGGCCATGGGGAGGGCGTAAGTACCAAGCATGATGTATGCGTGTATGAAAATGTCACAGCAAAACCCATTTCTTTGTATGCTAACCAAAAGTTTATTTCAGAACAAAAGGGCTAAGGCAAGCAAGTCACTGTGAGTTAAAGGTTAGCCTGGGCTACACTGAGTTCAAAGCCAGGCTACATTAAAAAAAAAAAATGAAATTGAAAAGAGAGTACTGGATGTGGGGAGATAAAAAGCATAGTCCCAGTACTTGGGAGGCAGAGGCAGGCGGATCTCTGTGGGTTCAAGGCCAGCCTGGTCTGTAGGGGGAATGCCAGTACAGTCCCCTCTGACCCCCGCGTCCTCTTCCCACAGAAGCAGCGGGAGCCCCGGAAGGGCCGGCTCATCGTGTGTGGACACGGGACGCTGGAGCGGGACGGCGTCTTCTGTCTCCTCAGTGACGACCACGGTGCCTCCTGGCACTTCGGGACCGGCGTGAGCGGCATTCCCTTCGGCCAGCCCAAACACGAGCACGATTTCAACCCGGACGAATGCCAGGTGAGGAGTGGGTGGGAACATGCTCGCCCACCCCACCGCCTGGCCCGGACTGCCGTGTCACCCAGCTCCGGCTTCTGCAGCCTCCCCTCCCCGGGCTCCCCTGAGGCCTGGTTCTCTCCCCTTAGCCCTACGAGCTTCCCGACGGCTCGGTCATCATCAATGCCCGGAACCAGAACAACTACCACTGCCGCTGCAGGATCGTGCTCCGCAGCTACGACGCCTGCGACACCCTCCGGCCCCGCGATGTGACCTTCGACCCCGAGCTCGTGGACCCTGTGGTCGCAGCGGGAGCAGTGGCCACCAGCTCGGGCATTGTCTTCTTCTCCAACCCAGCCCATCCTGAGTTCCGTGAGTGCCTGAGGGTGGGGTGAGTGGGGGCGCCGAGCCTAGGCCAGGCCGGGACGGAGCCGAGACCCCTCCTGACCATTGCTCCCCTAGGAGTGAACCTGACCCTGCGCTGGAGCTTCAGCAATGGCACGTCCTGGCAGAAAGAGAGAGTCCAGGTGTGGCCAGGACCCAGCGGCTACTCGTCCCTGGCCACCCTGGAAAACAGCACGGATGAGGATGGAGAGCAGCGGCCCCCGCAGCTGTTCCTTCTGTACGAGAAAGGCCTGAGCCGCTACACCGAGAGCATCTCCATGGTCAAAGTCAGCGTCTACGGGACGCTCTGAGCCCTGCCGTGAGGACGCCAAGTCCTGGACTCCGGCTTCATGGCCCTCCGGGGGCTGCCTGAAACCCAGCTCGTGCTCGGACTCTGGTCTTTTGCAGAAGCAATTTCTCTTTGACAGGGTTAACGGCCCAGCCTCCTCTCCCAGCCAGGAAGTCCCTTCCTCCCCAGGAGCAGTTTCCAGAATGCTGGGGATAGCCCTGTCCCCTCTCTCAGGACAGTGGAGGTGTTCCTTTCTGGGACAGGATGGGGGTGAGGAGTTGTCCCCTGGAGTGTAATAAATATGAACCCAGGGAACTGGCCGGCCATCCTCCTAGGGTTTGGAAGCAGGTACAAGATCTGAAGAGGATTGCTTAAAGTCCCCAGGGCAGGACGCCCTTTCAGAGTACAGGTAGACACACACACCCTTGATTATTTATAAATCAAAATATTTGTAATTTAAGATTTTTAATGAAGGAGAAAAAGCGTTTGTGGAGTCTGTGGTTCTGTCCACTCACACCTTCCTGACTGCCTCAGGGACACTGGTGAGATAGGAGTGAGGTTCGGAGAGAGACTGGTCCACTCATTGCTTGGGAAGCAGAACCCGGTCTGTCGATCAAACCCCACTTGCCCATTGACAGTCCTCCCTGCCCTCTTCAGTGTCCGGGAGTACCAGGGAGCTGTTTGGGGTATTTTGGTTGGTTGGTTTGGTTTTTCAAGACAGGGTTTCTGTGTAGCACTGGCTGTTCTGGAACTCACTCTGTAGCCCAGGCTGGCCTTGAATTTACAGAGATCTGCCTGCCTCTGCCTCCTGAGTGCTGGGAATAAAGGCGTGTGCCACCACTGTCCTACTGAGGATATTTTATTTCTAGAATGGGGTGGAATATGAAATAGGGAACAGGTGTGTAAAGCCAGATGGGAAGCCTTGTCAGCCCAGCCTGTGAGAAGGACAGTCTATGAGAAAGCAGCGCCTTCACCCTTAGGCAGATGCCCCTGGTGTCGGGGAAAGCAGAGCCCTTCTCCGCAGGAAAAGGAAAGAGCCTAGATGGATGCTAAGTATTCTGGGTGCCTGTAATCCTGAACTTCCTGGGTTGAATATGTAGCTCAGTGGTAAAGCTTGTGCTCGGAATGCCTAAACTCTGGGTTCAGTCCTTGAGGGGTGTGTGTGTTTATTGAGAGAAAGGCGTACTGCGGTCAGGGGACAGCTTGCTGGAGGTGGTTCTCTCCTCCTCCTCTGTGGGTCCCAGGGATCGATCACAGGCTGTCAGGGTTGGTGGCCAGTGCCTTTGCCAGCTGAGCCATCCTGCCAACTCTGCTTTAAGAAAATTACTTTCTACGAAGAGGAATGCCGGTCACATTCATTTGCAGTTTAGAGTCATTTTTCTTTTGATAGCTTCTCGAAGAAGTGTTAAGACAATCTGTCCTGTCCTGTCTGTCCCCCTCGGGGCTTCTGACACAGCGTGCATGAGATAAGCACGTCAGCACTCAGGGGCCTCAGTTCAGTGCATTCCTATGTGCACATGCGCGCGCGCACACACACACACACACACACACACAAATACAAATGCTTAGGTTTTCTAAAAAAATGACAGATAGGTTGTCTTTTAATCACTTTGTTTTTAGCAAAAATCTTATGTATCTCAAAGTGGATTGAACTCACTACGCAGCCCAGGCTGGCCTCCAACCCAACATCCTCCTGCCTCAGTCTCCCAAGTACTAGGATAACAGAAGTGTGCCACCACACCTGGCTAATAGACTTTTTCAAAACACAAAAGGAAGAAAAATGGTTACCATGTTTTCAACATTCGGTTCAGGTTAGTTTTTGGTTTGTTTGCTTTAAGGTGGATCTTACTATACTGCTCAACTGATCTCCAATTCCTGAAATCCTCCTGCCTCAGAACTAGGACCGTTGGTATATCCCACGAAGACAGGCCAACATCCACAATTGGTTTGGTTTGGTTTTGTTTTGAGACAGGGTTTCACTATCGCCCCGGCTGTCTTGGAACTCTCTTTGTAGCCCATGCTGGCCTCGAACTCACAGAGATCCACCTGCCTCTGCCTCTCGAGTGCTGGGATTGAAGGTGTGTACCACCACACTGGGCTGCTTGTTTGTGTTTTGAATCAAGGTCTCACATTGTAGCCCAGGCTGGCCTGGAATGCACACTATCCCAAATGCTTCACATCCTGCCTCAGTTCCTTTTAAAGGAATCTAAAATGAAATTTAAAAAATGAATATTTTGTCACTGAGCACTCAGAAGTACTAACAGTGTCATCTACTATCTAACCAATATTCAAATTTAATTGAATGTCTCAAAAATATCTCAGATCTGATCAAATCAGAACTGAAACCCAGGCATGGTAGTATAATCTCAGCACTCTGGAGGCAGAGGCAGGAGGATGGCCAGAAGTCTAAGAGCAGCCTGGTCTCCAGAAGCAAGACCCTTTTTCTAAACACAAACCAGTGGAGAGATGGCTCAGTGGTTATGAACACTGGCTGCTCTTGCACAGGACCCTGGTCTGACCCAGCCCCCCACAGTAGCTCACAACCACTCCAGTTCCAGGGGACCGGACACCCTCTGGCCTTCACAGGCTTCAGGCACATACATGGTACACAGACATACATGCCAGCAAAATACTCATACACATAAAAATGATTTAAAACAAAAGTAAAAATCAGGACTCAGGAAAATCTGTTCCTCCTTGCTGACTCTTTTATATATCTATATATATTTTTTGTTTGTTTTTCGAGACAAGGTTTACTCGGCGTAGTTTTGGTGCCTGTCCTAGATCTCACTCTGTAGCCCAGGCTGGCCTCGAACTCAGAGATCCGCCTGGCTCTGCCTCCCGAGTGCTGGGATTAAAGGTGTGCGCCACCACCGCCCAGCCCCTGATTGCTGACTCTTGCAGCTCTTTAATCTGTGGTACCCCTCTGTTTGCTCAGCTGGTAGCTCCATTTTAGTCCCATCTGGACATAAACAGCAGGTTGTCCTGGGATGGCCCTCTGCCTTTGTATTTTTGCTTCCTTGATGTCATCTAACGTCTCCCTCCATCTCCTGTGTCCACAGCTGTGAGACCCATGAAGGTTTGGCTGGATTCATGTTGCTCTTGGGGAGAGTCCGATTCCCCCATGGCTTCCATGGCTGCCCACTGCTCCTTCAGGCTTGCTTACCCTGCTTGTCCCCGACTGAGCACAGGGTTGGGGGCACAACCATCTTTGGAAGTTTTGCCTGTAACCCTCCTAAGCAACAACACCATGCTGGGATGTGTTGTTCGTTACCATTATTTCGTGGAGTTGCAAATGAGTGATTTTTACTTTTTTCTTGTTTTTCTCCTCATTTATTAGCTGCATTTTTTTTCAGTTAAAAATAATCTTTCCCGGGCTGGAGAGACGGCTCAGCAGTTAAGAGCACTTGCTCTTGCAGAGGACCTACCTGGGTTTGACTGGTAGGACCCACATGGCTGCTCACAGCCATCTGCAACTTCCGTTCCAGGAGATCTGATGCCCTCTTCTGACTTCTGTGAGCACCAGGCATGTTCATCCATGCAGGTGGACACTCATATACATAAAACTAGAATACATCTTTAAAAAAAAATTAAGACTTTAAGAAAAGAAAGAGAGAGCTTCCTTCCTCTGGGCTGTTTGTTCCTGGTGCATGGTTGGTACAGGAACTTCGGGGTGTGGGCTCCCTCTCCCTTAAGCAGTTCTCAGAGTCAGTTGGTGTAACTTGCTGCCCTAGTCAGTAAACCACATGGTTGCCCCATGGAACATACAGAGGCCCATCCACTGGCCTGCCAAAGCAGAGGGGGAGGGCCTGAGGAAAAATGATTGACAGTAAGACTGTAAGACACCTAACAAGACCATGTTAATAGAGATGGACAGAATAGTCAAACGCACGCACGCACGCACGCACGCACGCACGCACACGGGAAGGGGGAGAGAGGTGGTGGCCAAGGGGAGCTTGGTGAAATATAACTGATCATGGGCAGCGTGACCCATCACCTGCCTTCTGCAGAGCCAAAGACCCTGAGCTCCAGTAGATGATGCTTGAAGACCCCCTCCTCCCCGGGACAGGCTCTGGAGCCCATCATAAACCAGACCCCTCCCTCACCATACCCCATGGCAGCACCAGGTGCCCTCCCCACCCAGTGCTTGGAACGGAACCCGGGGTCTCGGGCATGCTGGAGGAGTGCTGTACCGCTCCCGAGCCATACACCTGGCCCTGGATTGTTTTATTTTATCTTGGTTAGGTGACAGTGTCGATATGTAGACCAGCCAGGCCTTGAACTTGTGAGCCTCCTGCCTCTGCCTCCAGAATACTGGTATTACAGGCATTTGCCACAACTCTATAGGACAGTATAGATCCTGGAGAGATGGTTGGGCAGTTAAATCCAGAGCACCAAGGTTTGATTCCCAGCATCTTCAGTTTACAACTGGCTGTAACTCTAGTCCCAGGGGATCCAAAGCCCTCTTCTGACTTCCTCGGGCACCAGGCACACGTGTGGTGTACATATATACATTTAGGCAAAACAGTCACACGAATAAATAAATAAACCTAAAAGAACATTTTAAATACATTTCTAGGGGTTGGGGATTTAGCTCAGTGGTAGAGCGCTTGCCTAGCAAGCGCAAGGCCCTGGGTTCGGTCCTCAGCTCTGAAAAAAAAAGACAGAAAAAAAGTACATTTCTAAATGTTTATCATACAGGCCTAAAACCCTAAAACCCGAGTTTTGATCCACCACCCATGTAAAGGCCAGTCATGGGGAGGTGACACCTGGGTACAGAAGCTGAACTCTGGAAGCGCAGCCAGTGTCCGTAAACCTCCAGCCCCAAGACAATGCAATGGTTTGCATTGGTTTTAATTTGGAACCAATTTAATGCAATGGTTCCAAAGGGACTGGAGAAATGACTCAGCCGTTAAGAGCGCTTGCTGCTCCTGGAAGGACTCGGGTCCCCAGCACCCACATGATGGCTCTCAACCATCACAGCTGCAGTTCTAGGGGGCTAACACCCTTCTCTGGCCTCCATGGACACCAGGCACTCATGTGGTACACTTACATACAAGCAGGCAAAACATTTCATAGACACAAAAGAGTAAACTAAAAAAAAAGAAAGCATGGGCAAACACGCAATGTGGTCGGTAAACGTCTTGGTTTTTCATTTCCTTTTCTTTGATGTGCTGGGAAAGGAACTGGAGGCCACAGACATGCTAGTCAAGCGCTCTGCTCTTCAGTGGGTAAACTGGTCTCGATCTTTGTTCTGGGTATAATGGAAAAGGCTAAATATGTAGAAAATTCTAACCGAGGCTCACACTTCTGTGAGATGGAGGTTAGAAGTCACATTTCCTGTGGCCCCAAATCTGTAAACCAAGAGCCTAGTGGTGTGACAGAGCTTCAGCCTTGGTTTGGTCTGCTGGGTCCAGTGCAAGAATTCTGTCCAAACTCAGGCCTGTAAAAGCTACTAAGAGGCAGTCTGGCCTCCAGCAAGCAGGCAGGTGAATGCTTCTGACTCACTGGAGACGTTGAGCTGCCCCAGCAGTTGGAGGCCCGGTGGAAAGCAGGGGGAAGCAGGGACTATCAGGAACAAACACGGGTCTCTGAGAATGCCCTGCCAAGCACCAGTTACCCTGACACTGTGATCAAAGAGAGGTGGAACTAGCAGTTCAGCACATCTAGGCTTCAGCATTTGATCAAAGAGATTAGGAGAAATGTCCTGGGGGAGCAGAGGCTGGAGAGACGGCTGAGCAGTGAAGAGCAGGAGTGGAGGAGCCTGGACTCTGGGGAGGCATCAGTGCTGGAAGAGGGTGTGGATTTTGCCAAGATGGAACCCAGGGATGGGCGCATAGTTAGG